CGATATCCTCCCCAAATATCCATGTGAACAAGCTCAAAACATGAATGAGTCTTAATCGAATGACTGCCAAAAGGTTCACGAGTAAGTTTTGAACGCAGGCAAGAGTCACAATGTTGCGGCTTATGATCAAAGACCGACAAATATAAAAAGGAATGCAAAGGACGAAGCTTCTCAGTAGATGGGTGCCCCAATCTCGCATGCCATAGCTCGGTTGTGGCCTTGCTAGCTGCGCCTGCAAAACGCGAAGGAACATCATCCTCAAGACAAGCTCCTCGGCCCTCAAAACGTCGAAGGTAATAGAGGCCGTCACGAAGATGACCCAGTCCAATCGTAGTCTTGGAGCGTGAGTCCTGGATGATGCAAACATCAGCCACAAAGGTCAAGGTCACTGCATTGTCTTTGGTCAATTGGCTCACAGACAATAAATTACACTTGAAACTAGGAACAAAGAGAACCCTGTGCAGTCGAAGATGAGAACTCAACCGAGTTGAGCCTATACCCAACACGGGTACACTAGAACCATCCGGAATCCGAACTGGTGAATAAGAACCATTACTGTTCAACTGATCTAGCCACCGAGAATCCCGCACTATGTGTTCATTACAACCTGAATCAATAACCCACTCGAAAGGTTCAGGGGAATTACCAGCCATGTGTGCAGTAGGTTCCGACGGTGGAGGAGGAGGTGTGAGAAGCTGTTTGAGCTGAGAAAACTGCGCAGCTGTCAATCCCGGTATCGGACTTTCTTCTGCTTCTACCGCTGCTGCGCGCGGCTGTTGCTTCCCATCGGCCTTACCACGTCGACCATCATTCCCACGATCTCCTTGCCTATTCTTCCCTTGATCACCTGAACTGTTGGGATACCCAATTAATTTGAAGCATGTTTCCTTAGTGTGTCCCTTCTTGTTTCAATTGCTGCAACGAATAGGTTCCTCGTCACTTTCTTTGTCGCGACGAGTTTGGAAGGCAGCCACCTCAATGGGTGGACGACGCCCGCCGGTAATGAGGCGTTGCTGCTCCTCCGCCGCAACCAACTGATAAGCTTCAGCCAATGAAGGAGTCGGCTTAATACTCAGAATCTGTGATCGGACGACCGAGAAGGCATCATCCAATCCTAGCAAAAAATCAAAGAGTCGCTCTGTTTCTTCCTTTTCTCGCGTCTGACGGGCAACGTCACAAGTACACGTGCCACAAGTGCAACGAGGATGAATGGTCACAGAGTGAAGCTGTCCCAGTAGGTGATGAGCTTGGTGTAGAAGGCTGACACCGACTGTTTTTCTTGTCTTAGTGCGCCAATGGTCCTGCGGAGCTCATAAGCGCGTCCTGCAGAGCCCTTGCCGAACCTTTGCTGGAGATCGACCCAAATATCTCTCGCAGTTTTAGCCGCGCGGACACTATTCCGCACTTCCTTGCTCAATGCCGTTTTAAGCCATCCTTTCACAGTAGCATCGCATCGTCCCCAAGCATCATCCTTGATTCCCGGTCCTGCCATGGATCTAGGAAAACTGCCATCAACAAACACGAGCTTATTCTTGGCGATTAGGGTTTCTGTCATGTCATTAACCCATTCACCATAATTGGAGTCCGTCAGAGGATCACTCCCAAATAATTGGCCTGGATTCTCGGACGGGTGGAGATAGAGAGGTGAGGTCAGCGCAATCACATCAACGTCGGTGACGACGTTCTTACCGCCCGAAGTCCCATCTTCTCCAATCGCCATAGTTGAAAAATCAGAGTGAGATCAGACCTGCTCTGATACCATGTAAAATCTACTAAAACGCGGAAGCACAACACAACGATTTTACGTGGTTTCCCCGTTCAGTATGAACGAGACTACTCCACGGAGAGCCGAAGCTCTCAGGTTATCTTATTAGAGTTCGCAGTATGTGAGCTGCTCAACTTACATCATGCGGCAGAACCCTACTCCTAATATACCCATCATCAACGTTCTAGGGTAATTAGGTTAAGAGGGAAAATAACAAAAGAGGTCCTCAAATAATAAAATAGGTCCCACCGCAGTCTCTTCTCCATAACTCAATTCCGCTTCTCATCTTTGTTTTTTCCCCTGGTTCTGATTATATATTAAGCAAATTAGGGATTCCCGGGAAGAAGGAGAATAGCAAAGGTCGGGTAAATTTTTTTTGGGGAAAAAATGGCGGCGAGTACTTTCAGGAAGGTGATCGAAGTGGTGAAGGACCACACGATAATCTGTTAGAAACGGAACAACAACAAGATCGAGGATACCGAATCTGGAGCTGAGTCGCGGACTAGGTCGCTCTCTTTAAGACGTTCGCGGCACTGCCCTCGATGCGCACGGCAGACTATCAACCGGTCGTCTCCAGGATAAAACAGCTCCTCTGTGTACTCGCGGTTTTGTGCGAAAACCGGAGCTCTCTGAACACTCTCTCTATTGTGTTTATGCTCGTTGTGGTGTGTTTAGAGGGGCTGGGGAGGCGGCTATTTATAGGAGCCGAACCCCTAGGAATATACCCTCTTGCTTGGGGAATAAGTCGGATTAATTAAGGAAGATAATTACTTCCTTAATTAAAACCGTCGGTTAGGATAAATCCTGCGGAGATTATCCTTCGAATATTCCTTTTCAATCGATTATCCCTTGGAATATTCCTCAGAATAACCGATTAATAATTAATTATTAAATAATTAATTTCGTTCGGAATTTCTCCAAAAAATATGTATATAGTCTCAAGTGATCCATCCAACCAACCGACCGACCGGTCGGTCGGACGGACGGACGGCGCGCGCTTGTGTGTGGTGGTCCGTTAGGTCCTCCCTCTCCCACAAAAGTGGGTCACCCCAAGGGGCATGCCCTTAGGAGAGAGGCTCCTATCTTTATACTCATTTCACCAAGTAAAACTACCAATCTGGTAGTTTTTCCACTTGAGACTCTATAGCTTTCAAAGCTATTCATACACATTTCCAACAATCCCCCACTTGAATAGTTTTGAAACTATCTCTGAGCATTAACAGTTCCATAAGATCGGGCATAAGCTAAGGTATCGCGAAGATTTGAACCTTAGCGTAGTGGTTACACTTCCGATTTCATAAGGGTGACTCATAGTCTTGAACCCTATCTCAGACAGTGTAGCACACCGGATCTTTTCATTGAGTTGTGTTCTCTTCTTAGCCCGTGCGTTTATGGCCATGCACGTTATCCTGGTTTAGTAAACGCTCTAGCAACTTTGTGCCTCTCAAAGTTCCATAGGGAGCGGCCCCACTCCCACATTCACATAGGTGAGTCTATCAGGAGTACCCCCAAAGTAAAGTACTCCATCCCACATAGGGTATAGATCTCATTAAGAGTTATTAACTCAACCTCCATTGCTTTGGGATTCATGCTTCATTATGCATGAACTTTTCGCATACTACTCATGACTTGTTATTACCCATTGAACCCATTTCTTGGGATCTCCAGTGTATTGGGTCGGGTTACCATCACTTGTAGTCCGTGGTTCGGTAGGCATAAGTCCCATACCCTTGGCGGTATTCTGGACTTTCTCTCTAGGTAATCCTTTCGTCAAAGGATCAGCTAGATTCTGTTCGGATCTTATATGATCCACCCTCACTGCTCCTATCGTTAGGAGTTCTCTAACAGTACTGTGCTTACGACGAATCTGTCGTTTCTTTCCGTTATAGAACCGGTTCTCAACTTTAGCGATAGCTGCGGTACTATCACAATGTATCAATACCGGAGGGACCGGGCTTTCCCATAGGGGAATCTCTGACAACAATCCTCTCAACCAACTTGCTTCTTCACTAGCCGTTGCTAGTGCTATCATCTCTGATTCCATAGTTGATTGAGCTAGGATTGTTTGTTTCTTTGACTTCCAAGACACAGCTCCACCAGCGATGTTAAAAACATATCCGCTGGTTGCCTTGGAGTCATCTGATAGGGTATTCCAATCCGCATCACTATACCCTTCTAGTACAGCGGGAAACCTTTGATAGTGTATACCAAGGTTTGCTGTTCTCTTGAGGTATCTCATGACCCTCTCTATAGCATTCCAATGCTCTCTACTAGGACAGCTGTTAAACCTGCCAAGCAATCCCACGACATATGCAATGTCTGGTCGAGTGTAATCCGCAGCATAACGGAGACTGCCAATGATGCTAGCATATTCTGTTTGTCTTACACTGTCTCCAGTGTTCTTGAATAGCTTTACACTAGCATCATACGGAGTACACGCAGGTTTACAGTCGAAATAGTTATACTTCTTCAAGATCTTCTCTATGTAACTAGATTGATCTAGAGAATAACCATTTGCTGTTCTAGTTATCTGGATTCCAAGCATAAACTTTGCTTCTCCCAGATCTTTCACCTCAAAGCTCTCTTTTAACATGGCTTTCGCTTCATTGACCACGATTTCGTGAAGGGCAACGAGCCACGGCGAGGAGCCGACCGACGAGAAGTACTACGGAGATCCTCTCCCTCACCTCCTCCTCGAGGGGCTACATTAGTGCGTGCGTCGCCATCATCTCGAAGCGGCTGAGCAAGACGCATGACTGGATGGTGTCGCTCAAGTCGCTTATGCTCGTCCACCGCCTCCTCGCCGACGGCCATCCTTTGTTCGAGGACGAGATCCTTGACGCCGCAGGATGCGGATCCTCAACATGTCTGACTTCCGCGCCGAGGCGAGCTCGAACTCGTGGGACCACGCTAGATTCGTCCGGTTCTCCACCATGTACCTCGACGAGAACGTCGGCAGCTCCGCGTTCGAGAGGAAATGGCGGGCCGCGAGAAGGGCCGCGGTCAATTGCGAAAGGGGTTCCTAGTACGGGAGGAGGTTCGACGAGAGGGATGAAGAGCTAGGGTTTGACAGGAACCGGAGTTCGGAGAATTAGAGGCGATTCAACGAGAGGGAGGACGAAGGCGACTCAACCAGAGGGAGGACGAATTGGATAAATGGAGGTGGTCCAATCACAACAAGGGATACGATAGAATAACAACACCTTATCTGTTGTTATTCTAACAACATAATTCATTAAGGGCAAAATTGGAAATTTATAATAAAAACAATAAAAATAAAAATTAGCCCTTCCCCTCCGCTCTGTTCTCCATCGATGGTGTCCTCCTCCAACTGCCATCTAATCCCTAATTCCAACTCTCCTCGGTGGAGAAATCCTACTCCGGCGCCGGCGAATCTCAACACCGCTCCCTGCACCGACTGCAGCATCCCGCCGCTGACTCCCAATATCCCGCCGGCGACGACGATGACCGTCTGGTCACAAGAGTGGTTGTAGTAGAGGAAGGACCAGGCGTAGAGCGCGTAGGTGATGCATCCCGCGGGGGAGCATGAGCCGGGGGCCGGCGACGTTGCACAGGCCACCGCAGACCACGCAGAAGACGGCGAGGGCGGCGTAGAGGGCGTTGTTGGCGGCGGTGGGGTCCACCTGCCCGCCGTCGCCCAGACTTGCCTTCCTACATGATCGTTTGTAGTCCTGGGCCATGGATTACTCCCTCCATCGGCGTGGAAGTCGAAATCTACAGAATCCAAATTCCGATCATTGTTGCAGGAAAGACAAATACAAGAAAGGAAAGCCGTCAGCGGGAGAAAGTGAAACAGAATTGGGGGAGTCCACAGCAGACAGCGAGGTTAAATTGATTTGATTTTGGTTTGCTTTTGGTTTGGGAATTATGGAATGCAATTGTGGTTATATGTATTAGAGAGAATACTATATAACCATAAACCACAATGTTTTAGAGAATACTATATAATCTTTCAACTATTAACCACAATGTTTGCTTTTGGTTTGGGAATTATGGAATGCAATTGTGGTTATATGTATTAGAGAGAATACTATATAACCATAAACCTACTAATGCAGACCACAAATCTTCTAAAACATACTAGAAATTTCACAAAGCAAACCACAAATATTTTATAAGCACACCAGAAACATTGTAATCCAAAGCGCAAACACAATAATGCATACTACAAATCTCCTAAAACAAACCACAAACCTCACAAAGCAAACCACAACATTTGCGAAAGCACACCAGAAACCTCCTAATGCAAACCACAAACACAGTAAATCAAACCACAAAAAAGCAAACCATAAACGTCCTAATGCAAACCACAAATATATTAAAACAAACCAGAAACCCCTCAATGCAAACCACAAAATTTTTGAAAGCAAACCAGAAACTTCTCAATGCAAACCACAAACACGATAAAGCAAACCATAAAAGGCATAAAAAAATATGAGAAACCAAACCATAAATCTCACAATGCAGACCATTATATCCGGTGATCGTTGACCGGTCAACGAACTTCGTTGACCGAACTCTGATGACCGTCAGTGAGCAGATTCCGACGCCGATAGGCATATTCCAGTTCCGATGACTAGATTCCGACGCCGGTAAGCATATTCCGGCCACAACATAGCATATTCCGGCGACAAAAAGCATATTCCGGTGATCGACGACCATTTTCCGGCGACCGGTGGCAGAATTCCGGCGACCAAATTTTTGGGCAGAAAATAAAAAATGTTTTTTTATTTTTTATTTTTATTTTTTATTATTTAAACATATTTTTCATAATGACAATTATACCCCTGCTTTGATTTTACACTAGGTCAACTCATCTAATAAAAAGTCATCTCAACCCTAGCTTCCTATTGGTTGGATACTAGTGTTGTTACAATAACAACAAAATATGTGTTGTTATAGTAACCGGTCCCTCGCAACAATGGTCGCGGGGAAGAAGATTCACCCAATCAATCGATTAGGAAATCGTAGGATGTGGCTCCGATCAAGGAGATGGCGCAGAACGTCGTTTTGGTTTTATTTAGTTTATTCTTTTAATGATGTGGAAATAATAAAAGTATTAAATTTATTTTTTTATTAATTTTTTAATTATCACGTCAGATATTTAACGGTCAACTGTTAGTATTGACTGTCACATAAGATAAAGGTAACGGAGAGTGACTAGACGTGGACCGTTTTACTAATTCGAGTGACCAAAATTGATATTAACTTTTTTCAGTGACTAAACATGACACGTTTTAGTAAACCCAGTGACCAAACTTGGCATTTACCCTTGATTTTATATATGCTTCCTCTTCTTATTCCAACCTTGTTGTCAACTTTACGTTGTCCACTATCGATTGACACCATAACTTTAAATTTGAATTAAAGAATATGATATCTTTTGTGAGATGGTTTGAATGATTTATTAGATATTTTGGTGACGATATGAATTTAAAATTGTTGATGGTCAATGATAACTTCATTCTTAAATTAGTGTAATATACAAGTCTTATATGGTATATATCATGAACGGTTCTACCAAAGATTTTGTAACGGTTAACCACTGAACCCTTAAACCACTAACTTTTCCGGAACAACCTCTGGTCTAGTTCTGAAAACAGAGCTCAAGATGCACATTTTCTCTAATTTGTAATTGGGTCACCTGCTTCTCAGAATCCCTAGTAAAACAGTACCGTCCAATTCGAGGCGTCCCAAAAAACGTTCTATTTTGTTTTTCATGACCATCCCAGAGAATATTCTATTAGGTTGGATATTTATTATTTGCACTCAAAATCGAGCACGTCGTCGTTTCGTGATTCCGGACGGAAAAACAACTTCCACACACGGAGAAAACGACGACCGCAATCTATCTCGCTGCCGAATAGAGAGACCTCTGTCGTCCAATCCATAATTACCGACCATTGCGGCAGGGGCACCGCTCCCTTTCAAGTTTCAAGAATGGAAACACATTCGATAAGACTTCATATAGGTTAACTGCAAGATTGGTCACTGAGATTACAAAAAACGTTCACATTTAGTCACTAGAAATATTTAATTCCATTCGTCATCACTATGATTAGCTAAACAGTTTAAGTTTGGTCACTCTTCGTACTTTCCATTAGTCTCCGTTAACGACGTCAACTTTTTGCTGATGTGGTTAACAGAAATGCACAATCAATCAATTTTAATAAATAAAAAACTTAAAACCAACCCTCCGCACCATTAAACCCGCCACGTCCTTAAACCCAACCCACCCGATCTTGACCTAACCTACCTAAAAAACCCAATCAACCATTCCCAATCTCCAATGCATCCCCATCTCTAACCTCCTCATCTTCTTCATCGCGGTTGCCGTCAATCTTCCCTTCCCTTTCCGATCCTCCCCGATTGCCAAACTTTCGTCGCTCGCCAACCAGTATCTTCTACCTTCCCACCAACCACCTACGTTTACCAACTGCAAAAGCTGTATCCAAGAGGCGGCGCCAGCGAAGGAGTGATCGATCTCGATCTGTTCTCCCAGCAACGGAGGCGCAAGCTTATGCAGCCGTCGTAAAGGTTCGTCAAGCTCCTCTGTATATCCACCACAGTTTGGTGCCTCTCCTCTCTCTGCAAGTCCCCCGTGTTCCTCCCTTTCGCCGCCGCCGTCAACATCAACTCGACCCCACCACTCCCTGAAGCTATCTTCTCCATCATCTCCTCGTTGGGTTCCTCTCCCGTCACCACGAAATACTTCCTCCTTAGATCCTTCTTGTAATCGGACATGATCTCTCTGAAAAAGAAGAACTCGTTCATCGTCTCTCTGGATTTCACCCTTAGGCCGTTGGTGACGGAGACCCTAGTTCTATCGATGGGACAAAGCAAGTGTTACCGGGAAGGGAACGAGCAAAAGAAGCAAGAATTAACACGGAGAGACAAAAGGCATCTTGATTGCTTTTTGTTTACCCTGTATTGTACCAGATCCAAGGATTGAACAGAATAGCAAGCGAACCCTTTGCTGGGTTTTTGTGAAGTCCTTCTCCAGGAGCCCTGAACAACACAATAACTAACCAACATTATAGAGGGAATTAAAAACTCATTATCAAGAATAATTCTTTTTTGCGTATGGCATCACTACTCCCTTTGGTTTCAGAAGATAATCCAGATATTTGGTTTGGGAACAGAGAAATCGAATCCAAAAATGAACCAAAGAGGCAAATGGGTATTTCTTTAAAGATAGAGATTGATCTCTCCTCTGCTGGCGCCGCCTCTTGGATGCAGGTTCTGCAGTTGGTAATCGCAGGGGGTGGAAAAAGAGAGGCGGGTTGGCATGCAACGGAAGTTTGGGATTTGGGGGAGGATCGGGAAGGGAAGATTGACGGCGACGAAGAAGATGAGGAGCTTGGAAGCCGTCGTCGGGAATGGAGAGTGAAGGGTTAGAGAGAGGGATGCATTGCATTGGAGATTGAGAATGATTGATTGCTTTTTTTAGGTAGGTTAGTTCAAGATCGGGTCATGGGTTGGGTTTAATTACGTGACGGGTTCAGTGACGTGACAGGTTGATTTTTAAGTTTTTCTTATTAAAATTTGGTGATTGTACATTTGTGTTAGCCACGTCAGCAAAAAATTGACGCCGGAGGCTAACGAAATGTAACGGAAAGTGATCAAAATTGAACTGTTTAACTAATTATAGTGACGATGAATGAAATTAAATATTTCTACCGACTAAACATGAACTTTTTCTATAATCTCAATGACCACCATCCTTGCAATTTACCCTACTTCATATTTTCTCAATTTTGTAATTGGGCCGTCAGCTTCCAAGTACAACCAGTTCGAGCCCAGCCCATAGAATGTTCTTTTCATGTTTTTCATGAATAGCCCAGAGAATATTCTATTGGGCTGGACAATTGTTCTTTGCATACAAAATCAAGAACGTCGCCGTTTCTTCATTCCGAACCGGCAAAACAACTTCCACACACGGAGAAAACGCCGGCGGAAATAGCATCACGCTGCTGAATAGAGGCTTCTCCGTCGGCAAATCCACAATTACCAGCCATGGTGGCAGGGACACCGCTCCTCCGCCGGCTCATCGCCGTCGATGCCGCAATCTCTCAATTCCTACACACACTGTTCCATCCCTTCTTCCCGACGGCGCTACTCCTCCTCCTCGAGATCTCCGCCGACTTCCGATTCTCCTTCCCGATCTGCCTTGCCCTCCTCTTCTCACCGCTCTCCCCTCCCCTCCTTCCGTTCTTATCCTCTCTGCTCTTCGGCCTCCTCCTCGACCTCGCCGTCGTCGGCCTCACCAAAGCCATCTTCCGCCGCCAGCGCCCGCACTACAACCACTCTTCTATGTCAGCCGTCGTCGCCGTCGACAAATTCTCCTTCCCCAGCGGACACTCGACCAGGGTCTTCTTCGTCGCGTCCTTGGTGTCTCTCTCGGCGGTGGCAATTGAGGCCGCTTTGCTCGAACTGAAGGCCGGCGGAGGGCTGCCTGAGCGGTGGATTGTAGGTGGTGACGAGGGCAGAGTGGTGGAGATTGTGGTGATTGGCGTTTTCGCTTGGGCGGGGATTACGGCGTCGTCTAGAGTTTTCCTTGGCCGGCATTTCTTCCTTGATGTTCTCGCGGGAGTGTGTTTGGGCATTCTTGAAGGCTTCGTTGCTTTTCGATTCCTGCGGTTTGAGGATTTCCTGAGGTAAAGTTCGCCGCATTGCCATCTCAATTGATAATTGATATGCCTATGCCGCAATTCCTTGCATTTTGGAGCTGAAAAGTAGAATTGGGGATTCTCAAATTCATTGGTTTTAGTGAATGGACGTGAATGAACATTGTCCTGATTGAAGGTTGGATTCACATTGAGATTGTTCCTTCATTGATGAGTATTACTGGGAATGAGAATTTGATTGCATCCTCAACTAGCTCAATTTTCATTTCTGCAGCACCCTACTTTATCAGAATGTCGTCGAGGTTGCAAATTGAGTGCTTGGAATCTGCATTAGATGCTTAATCCACAGAAGAGATAGGCACTTGTTGGCCTATTGGACTGTCCCATGGAATCTTGGTTCAGGTGCGAATGATCATTGAAGTAGAGTGAAAGCTGAGATTTTGCACTTACTGTTGATTTTCTTGTCAACGTTCAAAATGACCATCACTTCTGATTGTGTACCATTTTTATTCTATGTATTGTATGGAGTCGGTCTCAATTGTATATCACTTGCTACCACAACTTGATGGTTTATATTTGATTATGGAAAAAGTTACCTGCTTAAAGTCACTTTAAGGTTGTTCTGTAAACGTGGTATGTTCCCTGCAGAATCAATAATATAAGGTTAGCAACTATACCACTTGTCTTGTAGACTGTCACGTCGAGCGTATTACCCGCAGTTGGTGGCTGGTAGCTAAATTTGCGCATTGGATGGCTCATGTGGCAGCCACTTTGTGGCATCTCGAGTATGGATCCCACATCCTTTGTTCATCTAACCTTCCTTTTCTGTGGCCTTATAGGTGTCCTGATAGCTAAAGATGCTTTCATTTATGTTATCGTTTGTAAGAAGAAGCTTGTGGGTAACATACTGATTATTGGATGAGATTGATAGACTGATTGATGATTGACTTTAGTCGATCAACGAAAAGAGGATGTCAGACTTGATAGATTAGAGATAACAGAAACGTGGAACTCACTCAAAGCAAGGAAGTAAAGGTGGTGGTTAAATAGTTGTTATCTTGTATTTTCTTAATTAACAAACTCTACGACTTGATGCTTATATCAATCATCTACCTTTAGTTCATTGACTTCTCCTATGTCCATTGCTAGTGTCTGTGGCTGAGAAGGAGATGCATGTGCATTCTTTGAGTTTTGAACAGTGTTTACTCTTTCTTCTCTGCACTCTGCAATTTCTTTTCTCCTGTAGCAACAAAAATGGTCCTTCATCCTCATCCCCCCTTATAGCAAGGGACCTACCATGGAAGTTAAAGCTATTTGATTTGTGAACTGCTTTTGGTATTTCTGTCTATATTATTGAGTCTTCTTAGTGGCTGGTCCCCAAATTTGACTCAGAATGATGATTAGGTAGTACTGGAAATTTGAATTCTGCTTTAGCAATGAAGATGGTATCGAAGCTGTGGCCTTTGTCCACTTGTGATAGTAGTATCCATCCACGTTTGTGGGTTTTTGTTAGTATTAGTTGCTTTCCCATGATTGATGCCCTATCTTTTGTGTTTGGCTTTTGGTCATAGAACAAGCCTCTGGAAGCCCGAAATGGGTAAATGCTCTGTAAGCCATATACCTCCGTTGCTTTATCTCTTATAAGCTATAAAGGTTGTGGCAACTCCTTAACTGTAGGAATCAAGAACCAAAGAGGGATATTGTGGTATCGATCAACTATCTTACTAGTTGGGGTTGTTTTTGCCTTCACGGGCTTCTTTTATGGTTCTGCTTTATCAAGTTGTAGCTAACCAAGAACAGTGTGATGACTGGATTCTGGAAAGCTCGATTCAATGCAAGTCTTTTCTTGGTCAATCTACTTGCGGATTGGACCGGTCAAGCTGCTCATTTATGGTTTATGACCAAACTTAGTACAAAAGTTGAGAGCTGAGGAAGGATGGAGTAGATAGATATAGGTAGAGATAATGCTGATAAGAGAACTGTCGACTGATATCTATTTGATGTTGGCTTTACATACTGGGTAGCTAGGCAGCCAGCCAGCCAGCCAGCCAGCTTGTGACTGCCTAAAATTTTCTCTGCCAAGAAAGTGATGTAAACATGTGATTTCTCTCTTCCTTTTTCCCCTTTTCTATCCGTGGTATAGTTTGTATTGTACAAAAGCACATAATTGTTTTGGGAGGAAACATTGAACACATTTTTGGACATATTCTCATCAACTCGAGGGAAAGGGGTATCTTCCCTTCTACCTCCCAAAAAATGTTCAGAGGACCACTGAGAGAGAGCCAATTTAGATTCTGGGGTAGTACTCATCAGGGGGGTTGATACTTGATAGCCCAGCAGAAGTGTGGATTTATTGCATGTCCTCTCTCTCTCTCTGTGTTCTGTTTGTTTCTTTGGCTTTTCAGGTTACCCAGTTGAGAATCGATTATGGTCATGATAATCATCACTCACTGGGCTGACTGGGAATGGCAGCAGGGGGGAAACCTGAGGCAGAGATATTTCAGAAGAGAGAAAAAGCCACTGACAGTAGAAAGAAGGCGAGTAAAAAGTTATCATGTCTATGCATGTAAATTTGGAAGAGCATAGATAAAGACAGTGCAGTGAATAAATCATCTTATGAACGAGTCCCCTACGCTCATCTCCCCATGTATGTATGTATGTATGTATATATTCATAACTCTTCTATTCGTTCATTTCAGGGGTGGTGTAGTGGAATGGATTATGGAAAGAGTACAATCAATTAATAACTGTTGTTATTGCAGCATTGCAGGCTGAATTGGTGATGATGGTCTACAATGGTGGCCTTCTTATCAGTTCTTTCTCATTATGACCCCCTTGGCTCCTAGAGCTCCTAGACCTAGACTTAATCAAAGGGAGGGGTCCTGGCTGCAGCTGGCCCCTTTTTCTTTCTTGAGTCAAATATTAAATGAGGAAGGAACATTAGTGGATTGGATTGAGAAGAGAAGAATGCTCCTAATCTCAAAAGGTCAGAACTACACTGGTTTGTGAGTTCCCCATTTGGATTGGGGATTTGTTTGTGGGTTTTCTGCACGATTTGTCATCACACACAGTAGGTGATGAAGTGGGGCTCGTCAGGCGTCACCTGGAGGTAGAGGCTTGAAGACCTACGAGGATATTGGTTTCTCGGAAACTCGTCGTTAAGTACTTAACACAGAAACAGACGATGCTGCAACAAAAAATGAACTTCGGTGTAAGAGTTGCTCGACTGAAATGATAGAAAGGGAATATGTGGCTTGAAAGGTAGGCAAAGGTGGAAACAGATGGTCGGTAACATATTTGGCATAACTCAACCATCTGCTGCCACATCAACACCTTCCTGCCATTTATGGATGCCTCAAGCATTTTTTCCTTTAATTTTTAACGAACAATTTCTCTCTTGTTTTAAGTCAAAATTTTAAAAATTTTGCACGTATATATTAGATTATTTGTGTTCTTCAAAATAATGTACACTTTGATATATTTACAGTAAAAAAAAATGAGGCATTTATGCCACCGAGCTTACTATATGGTATAAAAGCATACTATGGTGGTATGAATATACCCGATTGTAGGATGATTGAATACATGATAGTAGGAGTATACTAACTATCATTTACGACTTTCAACATTGTGTACCACAAGATACCACCCTCATATCAGGGTGGTATGAGATGCTATATTTTGGTCTTGTATTTTGCCCCCCCCCCCCACCTCAAAAAAAATAAAAATTGTAGATCCAATAGATCATGATGAACTCATTCTTTCTATGTAAATATTTTCAAAAATGATTTAAAAATGAAGGAGTTTCCATATGATATGAAGTTGGTAACGAGACGTATAATTTATTTTTCCAAAAAATATCGAAAATGGATCTTATTTTATAGATCACAACGAACTCATTTCATCAATGCAAAAAGAATTGAAATCCATTTTAGAACCAAGAAGATAACAACCGATTGAGAAAACTAGGAAAAATAATAAACTTTAATTATCAACCTTTAGGTCTGAATCTTCTGGACTCAATTAAATCCAAAGGTCGAGATGTAGTTATGGAAAGGTGCATCATAGACTATGCACCATATCCTGAGCCGACAAAGGTTTATCAATGCTTTATTGCATTAGTATTTTGCTTTAGAAAAATAGAAAACTCTTTAAGGTACAACCTTAACTTGTACCTTAAACATTATGATACAAATTTAGTTTGTATCTATATCTTGTTTTATAAAAATTTTCTTATAATACAAATTGAATTTGTACTTTTGTTATGGCACAAAGTACAAACTAAACTTGATCGACTAACTCAAACCTTGGAGCAAAAAATCCATCAAAATATGGGGAGCTAAAAATGGGTATTGGTTATTGGAGAGACAAATTTGGCTTCCATTTGGCGCTTGGGCGCACGACATGTGGCTCGCCCAAGCGTCTGGTCCTACCTTTTTTTGTTTAAAAGTTACTTTTTGATTGGTTGGTTTTGTTTGTTATTTGTTTAATTATTTGAAAGAAGAGGTGCATATGGTGACCAAAATAGGGTCATATTTTACATTGGACCTTTTCACGATCATATAATGCACAAAATGACAAAAATAACGGTCATAAAATAACGGCTAAAGAAATGTTCATATTTGGAGTGGTTTTGAAGTTAACAAGTAATGATTAGTTTTTCAATTTCATTTGTCTCAAAATTAAAAGAAAATTACATTGAAAATTTACTTTTCAAACGAACTATAAAAAATGTAAAGTGAAATATAAAATTCAGAGGCTAAATAAGTATGATTTATTGAAATAAATTAAAAAAGGAGGTGGAAAGCTAATTTAGCTTCTTTTAGGGTTTGAGTGAAAATGATGTTTGGGAAGCTAAAAATGACTTGTAACTGTAAATTGGTGTCAGTCTTACCATAACATAAACATATAAATTCGTTTATAGTATACCTTTTATGTTATGGTATATATTTCAGTTTGTATATCGAAACATCGTCTCCGATTGCAAACCAAGATAATTTCTTTTTGTACCTTGTTATATATCTCCCACCCCTGCCCTCCCTTTTTGGATAAAAGGGAAAGGAGGCTGGCTATGGCTGGGTCTTACCAATCTTGCTGGATATTGTTGACAAAAGGGGTTTTAAAGCTTTTAGCCCTAATCTTCATAGTCATTAAGCAAAAGACAAATGGCTGCTTCAATGTATTTATGAATTATGATTGGGAAAAAAGAACTTTGTAAGCAACTGTCCTAATGGCATGCTTTCTTTAATTTCCCCTCATGTATCCTGCACGTTAAAAGAATAGCGACTTCCAAATCAAGGGAAAATCTTCTCCTGAAGATTCTAGCTAGGATTAGTATGTCATATAATAATCCTTCGTGGGACGCTACTCAAGATCTGGAAATCATTAGGGAAAGAGATAAAGGGAGGATTGCTGGTTTGCTGGTGTACATTTTTAATTATCACAGCAAGTTAGCAACTTCTCCTGATGCTAGCACTGTTGTGTTGCTTATGAATATATCATTAGCTGCCACGATTCAGTTGAATACTGAATTGGCAGAACGCTTTCTTAGCCGTTCGAACAACGTTTAGATAATTTTTCTGAATAATGATTTGGTTTAGTAGTAATATCATCGATTTAGTATAAAATTATCTAAAATCAACTTCTCAAAAATAAAAATATATGTCATCATTATATAAAATTAACAATCATATTGCTTTGACTCGTGTTGTATGTGAATGCATTATGAGCAAAGTTGTCAAACCTGTTTATACCGTTGTATCGGTTTAACAAGTGGAATGATTCGACCCGTGGTACAATCGATATGTGCCGGTTCATGTCGGTTTAACAAATATGTAGAAATGTGAAAATCTATTAACATAAAATGAATTTAATAATATAGAAAATATTTTTGAAGGGAATTTACATACAATTCATATTTAAATAAAATACAAAATTCCAAATAAAATAAAAAATATTAATATTTAAACACAATTTAATCTCAATATCTAAACATTTATACTTGATTGATGAATCAAAAAAATTACATCACTAGTTTAAATTTATAAATTAAATAATAAATTAATTGTTTAGTAATTAAATTCACTAAAACAACGTCATTTTGCTTAGAGGTTGTAAATTGATCATGTCAGTCATACCAGTAGTGTCACATTGATTTCATGAACGACAACATCTAAACCAGATTCAATCGGTATTCCACCAACGTGACAATGATTGTTGAGAATTTTTTTTATTCTTACATGTCTATACTAATACACTTTTGGGGTTATTAAAATCACGAATTGTTTTCTTTTACCGATATTCTTTATGTACCACAACTAGGGCTGTTAATGAGCCGAATCGAGCCGAACTTTGCCATAGTTCAGGCTCGGCTCGTTAATATATTTTCTAGGCTCGAGCTCGGCTCGTGTTCGTCACGAGTTTTAATACACAAGCTCATGCTCAGCTCGTTTATGAAAATGAAAGCTCGAGCACGGCTCGTCAAATAAGTTTAACGAGCCCAAAATCGAGTTCAGCTCATAAAATGTTCATGATAGCTCAAAATTGACTTAGAACTGAGCACAAAATTACATTCAAACCTGTAGCAAAGTCTATCAAACTAAAACACAATATTTATCCCAATTTCAATACATAAAATACATGAATTCTAATCCCTTTTTTATGCCAAACAATTAAATGAGCTTGTTCGCTAGCTTTCGATCTGAACATGGTATGGCTCGAGTTCGGCTCGTTTAGTTAACGAGCTTGTTCGCGAGCCGGCTCGATTAAGACGAATCGAGTGTCAAACGATTTTTCTCTAGTCGGACACCGAGCCGTTCATGAGCGGCTTGGTTCATTAACAACCCTAACCACAACTATCTGATCACAAATGGGAGCATTGATAATTTGCATATAGCCAGATGCTTGTTGTAAGGTTCTATTACTTGGTTCTTTTAACTTGACATGGGATATTGACGAAAAGAGCCTTTAATTAACCCTTTCTGTGATACAATCAAAGTCGCACAGCTCAAGCAATTCGAACCAAAGGATAGAACAAAGATAGGATGGAAATTAATCGGACAGAATTCACTCGTGAAAAGGGGCAATCGATAAGAATCCATCGGACAATCTCAACTCAAAATTAACGGTAATTGATATGGGTAGCTCGCCACAACTAGGGTGTATACCTAGTTGATAAGAGTCGCTCTAACACTTCAGACTCCTCAATAGAGTATTTAGGCAAAATTCGCAAAGGGAACAAGCAAAAGCTTTCTGAATTTTGATAATAATAGTCTAACTTCCAAATCAACGAGTTCAGCCATTTAAATAGGCCCCAAACAACGCTAATACAAACATAACAAGGAAAACAACATCATAAACCGACTTTGTAAGCAAATAACAAGTTTTTGCTGAGTTTAAGCTCAAAATAAAAAAAACAACACTTTTACTCCTTCTTGCATTCTGCCTCCTCTTCAAGACTGCCTTCTTCCTCCACGACTTGAAACATCATAAAGGGCTTTTACTTGAATAGCTCCACGTCCATGCTTGCAAAATAATAGCCCAAATATGTTGCAAACTTGTCTCTCATCGTCTTTGCCTTAGCACGTGTGACTGGCCCTTTGATGTCCTCATCAGTCCCTCCTTCTTCAAAAGGATTTGACCTCAAATCCGAATTTCCATCAAAATAAGGTGCAAGGTCAAAAACATTAACATTGCACTCACTCCATGCTGACAAGTCGATCTTGTAGGCATTGCTTCCCACCTTCGAAACCACTTGAAATGGACCATCACATCGAGGCTTCAACTTTGATTTTCTTTGTTGTGGAAAAATCCCCTTCCTTAAGTGCACCCACACCCAGTCTCCTAATTCAAAATGCCTCAGCTTCCTATGTTTGTTAACATTCCTCATAATCTGCTCCGTTCTCCTTTCAATATTCAACCTAGCCTTCTCGTGGAGACTCTTCACGAATTCAACCTTCCTTGCTCTATCAAGATTGACTTGCTCTTTCAAAGGTAATAGCGTCAAATCCAAAGGTGTGAGAGGATTGAAACCAAGCATGAGCTCAAAAGGGGAGAACTTTGTCGTCGAATGCACCATTCTGTTGTAAGCATACTCCACGTGGGGTGGATAGTCTTCCCGAACCTTTATGTTGCTTTTGATCACAGCTTGATGCATCTGAGGATAGAGTTCAATTGACCGCTTCAGTTTGCCATCAGTTTGGGGATGACATGTGGTAGAAAACAACAACTTTGTTCCCAATTTTCTCCACAACGTCTTCCAGAAGTAACTCAGAAACTTGCTGTCTCGATCGGACACTATAGTACGTGGCATCTCATGCAATCTCACCACTTTCATGAAAAACAAATCTGCCACATTCACAGTATCGTCAGTTTTGTGACATTGGATGAAGTGTGCCATCTTCGAGAACCGATCCACTACCACGAAAATGAAATCCCTGCCCTTCTTTGTTCACGCCAAACCAAGCACAAAATTCATAGATATGTCGATCCATGGAGCATAAGGAATCAGCAATGGTGTG